TGTGTGTGTGTAGGAGGTCAGCTTCCTAGTGTGTGAGTGTACAGCCGGTTAGGGGAGAGGAGTGTCAGAACAGCTGCTGTCCCTGTTTCCTCTGGAGGGGTGATGTCAGGGTGACGTATAACTGTACTGACAATGGATTATACGGCTTTGTTTCAAAGTATAAAATCACATATGGAAGTGTTGTCAACAATAAATATGTGGAGGGTAAAACATCCTCTTCCTGCTGTTAAAAAGGAAACAATGAGACATTTCTCACTGAGGGGAATGCGTGCGCTCCCACTCCTCAACTTCCAGGTGTATTCAAACATTTTTGAAGCTGATCTCTGTTATTTCCTGTTTCCGAAAAATGTATGATCTCACGACCCCTCACTCACGTTGTTAATTGTGGATAGGGCTTTAATAGGATTGGTTGTGCTTTCAAGTTATCCTTGTAAGCCATTACTTCCAAGTGCATAAATCAGGATCATGGTCTTTTATTCAGATAAGACTACAGGTTGGAAATAACAAAACAAAACCTGTTCTTCTTTTCTTTAAACATCACATTTTATACCTCAAACATCAGAGAACCTCCATGCTTTCTGTCCCAGATCTCCCCTCAAGTGATGCACGTGCAGAGAGAGGATGTTCAGCGGTGTGTGTAGCAGCAGCATCAGTCTGTGGTGCTTGAATGAGATGTGTGTTAGCTCTCGTGCTCTGTCACCCTCCTGGCCTCTCTCCATTATGCAGGGACAGGAGGGCGTAGTCCTGACCAGCAGCTGGCCTCCCGCTGTCTGACCTCTGACCTCCCCCTCCTCCCCATTTTTGCTCACCCGCCAGCTCCGTTACACCCACTATATGTCCTTCTCTTCTCCTGTCTCAAGTCCAACTCCTCATTCTATGTTTGTTTTAGCTAAGGGGTTCTTAGATAAACCACAGACACAGCAGTGACCCCCGTTACTTTATGTGAATCGCATTGAGTTGCAGATGTAACTGTGCTTACAGTGACGTGTAGGGCGGCCTAAAGTGCCACGTTTGAACTAAACCTTTTTTATGGTTCATACAATACTAGTTATTAAAATGACAATATATAGACACTTGTTTCCTGCTACAAATTGGTGTCGTGCAGTGATGTAGCACAGGTACGGTGGCCCTGGAGTGCAAGACACTACAGCATTTCAGAAAACGCCACAGTATTTCAGAAAACGCCACAGCATTTCACATTGGACGGAAAGGGTATTCCTTTAGGGAGAACAATTCTTGTTTGTGATTGGACAGAGCCAGCCAGAGAAGCACTGCTGTGATTGGTTGTTTTTGCTGCCAGTCAAGAAATGACGGTTTGTGATTGGTCAGCACCCGACAGCGAAATATATCCTAACACATCAGCCGTTAGCACACACTCAGAGCTCACAGCTCCTCATATCTGTTCAGAAACTGGACAAAAGTTAAACATGTACAAACCACAGACTGTCTGTGTCATGGCGAATACAGTCGCTGCTTTATTTATGTCTGACGTTGTTGTGAGTGTGGACGGAGCGGCAACAGGTTAGTTTAGCCTGATGGGTCCGATTCCATTCAGAAAACACGCATTTTAAAAGCTTTTCGCCTGCCGTCTTGTCAAAGCGTTAATTCATGGTTTTTGCTAACCGTTATCAGTATGTAGTTACTTCGGCACCACTTTGAAACGTGTATTACAATTAAATCACGGTCAAATATGTTCATTTTTGTTGTAGTTGGTATCTCCCATAAGATTTACATGGAGATACGCCCCGCCCCCTCTCCAGCGCCTCTTGTTTGAATGACAGGAGCAAACGCAGCTGACAGCCGCCGTGAAACTCGAGCGATTAGAGCGATGCGAATATTGGGTGGTCTACCATAGTATTTACGTGGAGATAAGCCCCTTTGTTACGTCCCCAGCTCGCTTAGGGTAAAAGGGAAACAACACGAAACCAGGTGTTCTTGGTAAGAGGTTGATTTTAATAATAAACTCAAAATAAAGATGATATAACAAAACTTCAGGCTCTTAAAACCAGCTGTCTGTTCAAAATAACGCTACACAAAACGAAGACCACAGATTATCACAGTCATGGGCACTTACGGCTAAAATAGTGAGGCGCCTCGCACAAGTTCGACGTAGTCACAAATCACAGAATACACACATCCTAACTAACCACTATATCAGAACTAGCACAGAGCTACACAGAACATAAGGAGAGCACCGAGAGACGTCTGACACAGATTCAGACCTCCCCCGTCTAACTGAGATGCACACACTCTTGTAAGAGTCCCCGGAAGGTGTGGGCAGGGATTGGTGAGTCGGGCCCGACCTGCTCCAATCCAGATCTTCGGTCACGCCTACCGGAGGAGGGACAGGAAACTGGCATCCAATGGCGTCTGGGCAACGGCGCATCTCATATACATATAACATACACAGCTGAAAACAATCCTAGACAGGTTAACGAGCAGACAGCAGCAGCAGCCGTGACACCCTTAAAAACCATGAATTAATAAAACATTAATTCTGTGTTTACTCCTGTCATTCAAACAAGACGCTGGAGAGGGGGCGGGCCGTATCTCCATGTAAATCCTATCGGAATCGGATCCATCAGGCTAAACTAACCTGTAGCTGCTCCGTCCACACTCACAACAACGTCATACAGACATAACTAAAGCAGCGACTGTATTCACCATGACATAGACAGTCTGTGGTTTGTATATGTTTAACTTTTGTCCAGTTTCTGAACAGATATGAGGAGCTGTGAGCTCTGAGTGTGTGCTAACAGCTAACAGCTGATGTGTTGGGCCAATCACGAAGCGTCATTTCTTGACTGGCAGCAAAAACAACCAATCACGCAGTGCTTCTCTGGCTGGCTCTGTCCAATCACAAACAAGAAGTGTTCTCCCTAAAGGAATACCCTTTCCGTCCAATGTGAAATGCTGTGGTGTTTTCTGAAATGCTGTTGTGTTTTCTAAAATGCTGCGGCGTTTTCTGAAATGCTGTTGTGTTTTGTGAAATGCTGTTGTGTTTTGTGAAATGCTGCGGCGTTTTCTGAAATGCTGTTGTGTTTTGTGAAATGCTGTTGTGTTTTGTGAAATGCTGTTGTGTTTTGTGAAATGCTGTTGTGTTTTGTGAAATGCTGTTGTGTTTTGTGAAATGCTGTTGTGTTTGTGAAATGCTGCGGCGTTTTGTGAAATGCTGTTGTGTTTGTGAAATGCTGTTGTGTTTTGTGAAATGCTGTTGTGTTTGTGAAATGCTGCGGCGTTTGTGAAATGCTGTTGTGTTTTGTGAAATGCTGTTGTGTTTTGTGAAATGCTGTGGTGTCTTGCACTTCAGGGCCACCGTACACAGGTTAGCTAGCACTGTCACTGCCCGATCTGCAGTGCGCATGTGCGAGATGGTCCGCCATATTGGACAACTCCGTACGGCAACCCAATAAGGACACTTGACACAGTGGCTTTTGGCAAAGCTCAAAAAGAAAACTCGAGAGGGATGAGTTATTATTACAACGTGACTTCAGTATTATTTAACAACTCTTTTTATTGGGTTCTTTTATTTGGGGTTAAGTTCATTGTCAGAATAAGCGAGAAAAGAATTTAACTTCTGTTAAACAGCCATCATACTGAATACATATTTACTGTGAATGTATGCAAAAATGTATGGCATATATGTCTAACAGAAGTTAAATCAATTTCTCACTTATTCTGACAATTTACTTAAACCCAAATAAAAGAGTTGTTAAATAATAGTGAAGTCACGTTGTAATAACAATAACTCATCCCTCTTGGGTTCCGCGTCACTGTGGCACTCGCATGATTAGATTACACTTTCATCCGTGTTCAGTAAGTAAGTAAATGTGTTCTTCTGGAGTCAGACTTAATAATTGCTAATATGCTAGATACTCGATAATATAACGCATATTTTTAGACATAATTAAATAAGAAAGTCTGAAATATATATATGTTAAAGGTGGGGTAGGTAATTTTGGAGAAACCAGCTCGAGTGCGCTAGAATTTGAAAATACACAGCCGGAAGAAATCTGCTACTTCCTTACAGAGCCCCTCCTCCAACACACACGAACGCGCACATGACCAATGAGGGCACGAGATAAGTTTGTGCACAGATGGAAGGCTGACAGGCAGGTAGGCCATCCAGTTACTTTAGCCGGGCCGGCTCAGATGATTGGTCGTGCTTTTTACAGTACTACGGCTTCCACTGATTACATTTTATTATGGATTTGTTGTCAAAGCACTTAAGATATTCATTGCTATCGGGATGTTAAGAGCATTCCATGGAATATAACAAAAAGTGTATCTCGAGCCGGTTTCTCAAACGTACCTACCCCACCTTTAATGGTTTAGTGCAGTCAGTGTTTTTAAAACTCTGCATGATGGAAACAGATGGTTGTAGCTGCTTGAGGTTTCATTAATACTGGATTCAGAACTGATGGTGCAAATTTATTTACTCATTAAAGTTGTTTTTTTTATCTATTTGATGATAACATGTTAGATACTGGGACACGCTCCAAACAAAAAACAAAGTTAAATAGAACAGTGAAATGTTTTATTTCGCAACAAAATGTCAACATATTCAAAACTTTCCTCCAACGTATAAAAGTGGAACAGACATATATAACATTATCTTAAAGTAGGAGTAAAATGTACATTTCAAACTTAAACCATTGACATTAAAACACAAACATGTCAACAAAACATCCTCAGTGGATCTGTGTAATCAAGAACACTGAATTACAGTCACAGATACCGTGCACTGCCTGACCCCTGCAGCGTAAATGCAAAGAGGTGCAGAAATAAATACATAGCCAGTCTGAAACCTGACTCCAGATCAGCAGAGGTCAGGTGGTGTGAAGGGCAATACCAGCAGATTTTAGGTGCACCCACCCACCCACCCACCCACCCACACCCACACACCACACCCACACACACACACACCCACACACACACACACACACACACACACACACACACACACACACACACACACACACACACACACACACACACACACACACACACACACACACACACACACACACACACACACACACACACACACACACACACACACACACACACACACACACACACACACACACACACACACACACACACACACTTCGAGCAGCACCTTGAGAGCTTTTGTGATCAGCATGATAGAATGTAATATAAGAACGTCATCCTTTAAATTTTAAACATATACAAAAAAGAAGAATGCTTCAGTTTCTGGTACACAGATCAGAGAGAACTTACTGGAATGACATTTTGCCAGATGAAAAATACATACTTAATGTAGGTATTCAATGTCAGACGGCACTTGTGATCATGACAGTGACGTAATACTGAAAACCACATAAAAACCATTATTTTCAAATAAAACGGAAAGTATTTTGACTTTGTTGAGAAGATTTGGTCAGAGGAAGTCACTAAAATTCAACACAGCAAACTCCCTGAAACTCCTCCTAACATTTTAAACTTTATTGCAACGTCCCTGTCACCTTCTCCTCAGGAGAGGCAGGAATCAAGATGCTGGTTGATGTCTGACTCCGGCATCTGCGTTTGGCACACGGGACAGCTGACCATCAGCGCGGAGGAGGAAGACGCGGAGGAGGAAGACGAGGAGGGGGTAAAAGTGAGCATCCCAGGGAGCGAGGAAGTGGAGGAGGTGGCAGTGGCAGTGGCAGTTCTTTGCTGCATTGCGGGTGCTTGTGTCTTCCCCAACTCCCTCGGCGCTGCTGAATCGCTGCCTAATGCCCTCTGGAAAAAGTCATAGAGGCTGGGGGAGTTCCCGCGCTCGTCCCACGGCCTCTTCCTCGATGTCGGAGCAGAACCGGAAGCTCCTGATTTACCGTCACTGTTAGTTGGACTGAAATACTTGGACTGTGATGGTTTACTAGGGCTGCCTTTGGTTCCTGTCGAAACCACAGAATAGCTGGGTTCACTCGGACTAGCCGTAGATGTTAGGTTGTTATGTATCTGTTTAGGAATGGCGCCAGACGCAGAGAAAGCAGCATTAGGAGGATCTCTTTTCGTTTCTGGGTTAGAGGATTGACCCGTTGACCTCCTGAGGCTCGTGCTGGTAAAGAGGCCTTCTATGGACCTCTGCGTGTTTTTATCTGCGTCTTGGCTACGGTTGCTGCCGCTGCTGTGGGGTCTGGAGATTCTCACTGGAGAGCCGTTGATGTTGACAAAAGCTCTGGTGTTGCCGACAGACTTCTTCTTAAGTGGCTTCTGCACCATGGAGGAAGCTGGTCTGATGGAGGGGACAAGACTTTTAGCCGGAGAGGATGGCGGGAAGAGCTTCTTTGGAGAGGGAGGCACCACTGGGGAGGGTTGGGGATTCCCTCCGAGCTGGAAGCCTTTGCCACTGAATGGGATGAGGTTCCTTATGTCCTGTGATACGGAAACTGAGGGGAAATAAGTATATATTTGAGACTTTCTGTGATGTCAGACCAAATTGATTATAAGATTACGCTTTTAAATGATTATCGAAGACCTGTTGCTAACCTTGAGCCTCGAGAAATTAGGGCTGCTCGATTATGGCAAAAATCATAATCTCGATTATTTGGGTCAATAATTGAGATCACGATTATTAAAAAATGATTATCCATTTATTTAAAACAATGTGAACAGTATGTTTTTAACAGTTGATTATCCTGAACTTTAAGTATAATTCAACTGAAAAACCAATAATTTTTTTTTTTAAATTAATAAAAATATAAAAAGATGAATCGTTTTATTTCGATTAAGTTGTTTTCATAATCGCTGCAAGCTAAAATCGTAATTGCGATTAAAATACGATTAATTGAGCAGCCCTACTAGAAATCGTGTTATCTGCCTGAAAATTACACTTTTGAAGATGTCTTGTTCGTTTTCTTCAGGCGACATTTTTGGTGATAAACTGTCATTTGAATGTTTCTGAATCTCACTCTTACTTGTTTTGGACTTTCATCCTTTTGAGTCATTGTACGACCAAAGTAAACAAATGCTCGCTAGGCTAGCATAAGCTAAAAAGAACATACACTGATATACACTCTGTTTTAAGGAGCAAGTTGAACGTATTTTAGGCTTAAAAATCATTGTGTACCTCATTTAGGGATAGATAGTGACTTAACCGTGATTTACTTAAAATGTATAACAGGGTATATGCAGGAGTCCTGAAGTCAAATGTAAAACCTTTTAAGACCTTTTTTAAGACCCTTTCCGTACATTTTAAGACCTCATCGCCACTTGGAGTTTTAACCGGTTACCTTGGCGACACACTTTACCTCACATTGACTATATACAGTATTGATTGGCCTTCCTCCTTATCTTCCAACCATTTGGACGCAGACTTGCATTTCCCCATAACGATGTTGTTTAGCAACCGGCGTAAACGGACCTTCGCGCTATCAAGCAGTGAGCGCGCGATGTCCTGTTCAGATGACGTCAAATCCAACGGGATGCCATAAATAAACTACACAGAATCACACTACACACCTACGCAATGATTACATTCAGGCACACTGTAGAATACAACCTCTTTGGACCATTTATATACTTATTGAAAACAAGCTACAAAAATGTAATACCTTGGGAAATGCCCTTTAATACTTTTTAATAGCCTTAATTTTCACAAAATCGATTTATCAACTTTTAATACATTTTAAGACCCCGCGGACCCCCTGATGAAGGACTAGTTATCACAGCAACGACTTCCTCACCTGTAGTTATGCTCGGAGGCTTTTCATTTCCAGAGGACTTCTTCTCTGAGGTCTTCTCGTCTGTTTTACCCTCCTTCTTGTCGCCCTTCTTGTCGCCCTTCTTGCCGTATCCTTCTGGCTCTTTGACCTTGGTGTAGGTCCCTCCACACGTCCTCCTGTGGTCTTCCCACCACGGATCCTGAGAAGAAGGAGCCCGGTTCATGGCCCTCTTTACGAAACCAAAGTAGGGCTTGCGGTTCTGACAGGGCCCGTTGCATTTCCACCAGTGCTGCCGGTACACGTCCACCTCATCGTGGAAACTGTGGTAGACCTGAGAATAGGACATGGGTTTATTTATTATTCATTAATCTAGGCCAAAACAGACTTAACACATCAAATGTGTAATAGAAGATCCACTTACAGAAATCTGTGTCCCGGTGGCATCGTTGATCCGGTTCATGTGTTTGCAGAACTCAGGGCCGTGACCGTCTCTGTCTCGGTTGTTCTGGGTCACAAACAGCAGCGCGTGGATCATTTCATGAAGGAGAGTCTGTGGAAACAAAAAGAAGAACAGTATTAAATTAACCAGTGTGAACACATACTAAATTGTGTCTACTATTTTCAGTGTTGTTTTCTTGTTGTTATACAATATGTCATAAGCCAAACACTTCTGAAAAAGCAAGATCAGTGTAACTATCCACCTCACCTGCACCAGGTCTTTTCTCGGTCTGAGCTTCAGCAGAGGCGCACTCAGTCGGATTGAACACAGACCCCCTCCGCCCTCATAAGAACACACACCAGCACACCTGAACAAAAGCATAAACACAGAAGGAAACATTAGAGACAGACGGCCCTTTCATGAACCCTATTAGCACCAGCAGCACTGGTTTACTGGCTAGTTCATAACAGAGGCGGAAGATGTATTCAGGTCCTTTATTTTGGTAAACGTAACAATACCACACTGGGAAAATAATCCACTATGAGTAAAAGTCCTGCATTTCAAACCCAAATGAAGAAAAGTATGTAAGTATTATACATCAAAAGCAGTAGAATGGTCCCTTTAAGAGTTTTGCTATGATTTATGATGTTTTTAGATCAATATTATTGCTGAATTTATATTAATCATGTGACATTTTAATGCTGTAGACAGAAAGGGTATACAAAAGTGAACTGAAAACCAACTAAAACTGCTGTGTGTGGAATAAAAAGTACTATATTTGCCTCAGAGGTGTAGTGGAGTATGAGTATATGGTAATATATAAGTACCTTAAATGTGACCTTAAATACATGCATCTAGTGTCATTAGACCACTGCTTTAAACAGTGACATAATAACCTTATCATCTCTCCAATGGTCACACCAACACCCAACAAATTATCTTAGCATATTATGTTTTCATTGATGGCATTTCTGCGCCCTTACTGCACACGTCAGCATGGTTTTGGTTTCTGGCAACAATGACAACACAATCGATCATAACACAGTATAATGTGACTCACAGTGTCATCCTTGGGCTCCACTTCACCTCCACACCGCTAAGTTTCCCCCAGAAGAAAGTGTCATTGAACTCCAGAAACATGGCTCTGACATCGGGGCTGGGGTCCAGCGTCTCCCAAGAGGAGTCCACGATGGACAGCGGCCTGTCGGGCTGCACTTTCGGCTTCCAGTAGGGAACAACATCGCCTCCAGATACCTCCACTTTCCGCTTCTTACTGCTCTGTCCGAAGCCTTCATCATCAGAGGCACTGGATGCATATGATGGTGTCTCGTATTCATTATCAAACTGCTCCTGGAGCCGAAGAGCTAGCATAAAATCTTCATCCATTTCAAAAACAATACATAAAAGATTATGCAAACTGAGGTAGCTAGCCACTTAGCTTTGGTTGTTCGGGCTAACTAGTTAACGTAGCTTATAAAAGGCTCTCAAACAGCAAGTGACAAAATCACCGGAGCCAGAAAACAGTCTGACATATATAAGACCTGTACAAACAATTATATGTGTGTCATACTTTCATTAAAAACACGCAAATCTTCATGTTGGACGAAGGTTTTCCTGCTAACTGTAAGTCCGAAGCTAGCGCTAACGGTTTTTTGCATGAAGTCTATCACAATGCAACCAAATAACATCCGTTAAGAATTTCAAAATAAAACTTCCAAAACAACTATAATGTAACTATTTGTTGTAAAATGTAAAACTCAAATAAATACAATAAAGAAAATGCGTGTATTTTTTAATGAATATCAAAATGATAAAATTACATTTATTAGGAGCCTTACACATGAGCGTTTCTTTAGTTATTCCTCGACCTGTGTTTAAATCATGATTGTTTGCTCTTATTGTGACACTCATTTCCGGATATAGATTTGGCAACACCTTGGTTTGTTTCGAACGGTTTCAAATACAGCAAGGAATTGTGGGAATTGTTGTCTTCTTTAATTCTTGTAGGCGGCTTGTGGTTGGCCAACCTAAAATGCACCCGGTGTTATTTTTGTTGTAGTTTACTGTTAAAATAAAGGATATTTTGCCTCAATAAAAGTGTTATTTATCATTTACATTGAAACTGTATGTAATTTAGAACAATTTATAATGTTAAAAACGATCACATTTGTAATAAATATATTTGTTTTGATGACATTTGTTGGCCATTTCATTTTCTGAATCCCGTGACGTTTAGGGTGGCAACTTCCTGTTTGGGTTGCAAGCGGACATGAATCGATGAACTCTTCTTCTGTCTACATGTATCACTATTTTATCTAAACAGGGGAACACACACACCACAGAAATGTCGGAAACGGGGAACAGACTTCGCAAACTGCTCGAATCGCAGAATTTCGACCCGCAAAATTACGTGAAGCAGCTGTCCCAGCAGTCCGATGGAGACAGAGACCTGCAGGAACACCGTCAAAAGATCCAAAACCTGGCCGACGAAACGGCTCAAAACCTGAAGAAAAATGTCTACAAGAACTACAGACAGTTCATTGAAACTGCTAAAGAGATATCCTACCTGGAGAGCGAGATGTACCAGCTGAGCCACATCCTGACCGAGCAGAAGAGCATCATGGAGAGCATCACTCAGGCCTTGATATCCACAGATAAGGATGAGACCTCTAAAGAGATGCAGGCTGCTTTCCCCAAAGAGACAGAGGAGCTGAAGCAGAGGACACTCACCTCCCTGCTGGAGAAAGTAGAAGGGGGTAAAAACATCATGGACACCCCAGGGAGGCACCTTGTCTACAATGGTGACCTTGTTGAGTTTGATGTTGACAACATGTCCCCCATCCAGAAGGTGCACGCTTTCCTCATGAACGACTGTCTGCTAATCGCCACCTGGCTGCCCAACCGCAGGGGAACCGTGAAGTATAAATACAACGCCCTGTACGACCTGGAGAGCTTTGCTGTGGTCAATGTGAAGGACAACCCTCCCATGAAGGACATGTTCAAGATCCTCATGTTCCCCGACAGTCGCATCTTCCAGGCGGAGAACAGCAAGATCAAGAAGGAGTGGCTGGAGATCCTGGACGAAACCAAGAAGAACAAAGTCACCAAGGACAGGCACAAGAAGGAGGAGGAGGTCCCCGTGTCTCCTGTGAGGGCCGAGGTGTCCACCAATCCTTTCGATCAGGAGGAAGAACAGCAGCCAGCAGGGGAGGCAGAGGAAAGCGTGGACCTCAGCCTCGAGTGGATCCAGGAGCTGCCCGAGGATCTGGACGTCTGCATCGCCCAGAGAGACTTCGAGGGCGCCGTGGACCTGGTGGACAAACTCAACGAGTATCTGAAGGAGCAGCCGGTCAACCAGCGGGTCAAAGAGCTGCGGCTGAAGGTGGAGGAGCGGCTGCGCCAGCTGACCGAGGTCCTGGTGTTCGAGCTGTCTCCAGATCGGTCCCTTCGGGGGGGGCCTAAAGCCACCAGGAGGGCCGTGTGCCAGCTGATCAGACTAGGTCCTGCTTTGTTTGTGGTTATCTTTCATTAATAGCCCCTGACACATCAACTCAAAAGTAAACATTGCTTTTCTGCAGGGAAACTACAGCGTCTCCAGGTTAAAGGGCACCTTGGCAGGAGTGGATAAGGGATTGTTACTCATTTACTTCCCACTCCTACATTGTTTGCAATCATTTTGCATGTGGTAGTTAAATCTGCTAGCTCAAATTCTCCCAGCAGAACACCTTTAAAGACTTATTTGATTCCCCACCTACCAAACTCTTACATTTGCTAATTTTTCTTTTTTTTAAATGACCAAATAGTATTTATTAAATTTTATCCTCATAAATTATGTTCTAAAGTTGTTTCAAAGTATGTTCTACACTGCTAAGTACTCAATGCATTGTGATGGAGTAACAAAATCAATATTTGTTTGCTACAAACAGTAAAATGTCAGATATTTATTCAAAATTGTGCACGAATCAGCCTTACACCCAATATGAATGGTTATTGAAACATGTTAAAATGCCTAATGTCTCACTTAATTAGATCATATTTGCATTACATTTGAATAGTTGTTGTCTGTGTATGCAAGCCAGCCCAACACGACATTCAGCCAAATAGCAATATAAAACCCCTGTGATATTGGTTGTGAATTTGAATCGTATTTACTGTGTTTTCAGGCCAGTCCACCAAGGCCTGCGAGTTGTTCCTGAAGAACCGAGCTGCGGCGGTGCAGACGGCCATCCGGCAGCTGCGTATAGAAGGAGCCACGCTGCTCTACATCCACAAACTCTGCAACATCTTCTTCACCAGCCTGCTGGAGACGGCCAAGGAGTTCGAGATGGACTTTGCCGGGAACACGGGCTGCTACTCCGCCTTCGTGGTCTGGTCCAAAACCACCATGAGGATGTTTGTGGACGCCTTCAGCAAGCAGGTATGTAGAGGATAATACGATACGATAACACTTTAATGGTCAGATCAAGTCTGAAATGTGACTTGCATCACAGCAGCTCCATGTGTAACATCAACAGACACATGTCAAGACACTACATGAAAAACAAACAAACATTTAACAGAACGGCACGATCAGTGAGAGAAAACATGCTCAAAGAGCCTTCAGCTCTGTGTTTACTGTGAGGATCGACTGGAGCACAAAGGATGCTTCAGTCTGACTTTATTCAATCTCCATTAGATGGTAGCAGTTCATATTCTCTGTTCAAACATGCTTTGGGTCCCAGATGATGTTGTTGGACAGCCTCTCAGGTTATTATGGTATGCTGAGTCAGAAAGTCTCATAAGTAATACATGATATGGTTACCACAGGGGGATATTTGTCATTTGAACCCAGTGAAGGTGTATTTATTCCTGTGAAACTGCAAAGTAATATCCAAGTGACTTCTTGTGTTCCTCAGGTGTTCGACAGTAAGGAGAGCCTGTCCACAGCAGCAGAGTGTGTTAAAAAGGCGAAGGAGCACTGCCAGCAGCTGACGGAGATCGGCCTGGACCTGACCTTCACGCTGCAGTCGCTGCTGGTCAAAGACATCAAGGCGGCGCTGCAGAGCTACAACGACATCATCATCGAGGCCACCAAGCACCGAAACTCTGAGGAGATGTGGAGGAAGATGAACCTCATGACCCCCGAGGCTCTGACTAAACTCAAGGTGGGTTTGGATTAAACTCGTTTTTCTTGTAGTGTTAATTGGTTCTCAGCTGTCCTGTTCTGAGCTGCTATTGAGTTTGTATACCCAAAGAATTTAAATGTATCTATCTACACAAATATACCCATACATACAATATATGTTAACCAATACAACCATACACTTAAATGTAACCATGCAAACATTACAAAATGCCATTAAAGAAAAGAAACACAAAAAAGGGTATATATATATATATATATAAATATATGTATACAGTGGGGCAAAAAAGTATTTAGTCAGCCACCAATTGTGCAAGTTCTCCCACTTAAAAAGATGAGAGGCCTGTAATTGTCATCCTAGGTACACCTCAACTATGAGAGACAGAATGGGGGGAAAGAATCCAGAAAATCACAAGTATTTGGTCAATAACAAAAGTTCATCTCAATACTTTGTTATTTACCCTTTGTTGGCAATGACAGAGGTCAAACGTTTTCTGTAAGTCTTCACGAGGTTTTCACACACTGTTGCTGGTATTTTGGCCCATTCCTCCATGCAGATCTCCTCTAGAGCAGTGATGTTTTGGGGCTGTCGCTGGACAACACAGACTTTCAACTCCCTCCAAAGATTTTCTATGAGGTTGAGATCTGGAGACTGGCTAGGCCACTCCAGGACCTTGAAATGCTTCTTACGAAGCCACTCCTTCGTTGCCCGGGCGGTGTGTTTGGGATCATTGTCATGCTGAAAGACCCAGCCACGTTTCATCTTCAATGCCCTTGCTGATGGAAGGAGGTTGTCCCTCAAAATCTCACGATACATGGCCCCATTCATTCTTTCCTTTACACGGATCAGTCGTCCTGGTCCCTTTGCAGAAAAACAGCCCCAAAGCATGATGTTTCCACCCCCATGTTTCACAGTAGGTGTTCTTTGGATGCAACTCAGCATTCTTTCTCCTCCAAACACGTCTAGTTGAGTTTTTACCAAAAAGTTCTATTTTGGTTTCATCTGACCATATGACATTCTCCCAATCCTCTTCTGGATCATCTAAATGCTCTCTAGCAAACTTCAGACGGGCCTGGACATGTACTGGCTTAAGCAGGGGGACACGTCTGGCACTGCAGGATTTGAGTCCCTGGCGGCGTAGTGTGTTACTGATGGTAGCCTTTGTTACTTTGGTCCCAGCTCTCTGCAGGTCATTGACAGGTCCCCCCGTGTGGTTCTGGGATTTTTGCTCACCGTTCTTGTGATCATTTTGACCCCACGGGGTGAGATCTTGCGTGGAGCCCCAGATCGAGGGAGATTATCAGTGGTCTTGTATGTCTTCCATTTTCTAATAATTGCTCCCACAGTTGATTTCTTCACACCAAGCTGCTTACCTATTGCAGATTCAGTCTTCCCAGCCTGGTGCAGGTCTACAATTTTGTTTCTGGTGTCCTTTGACAGCTCTTTGGTCTTGGCCATAGTGGAGTTTGGAGTGTGACTGTTTGAGGTTGTGGACAGGTGTCTTTTATACTGATAACGAGTTCAAACAAGTGCCATTAATACAGTTAACAAGTGGAGGACAGAGGAGGCTCTTAAAGAAGAAGTTACAGGTCTGTGAGAGCCAGAAATCTTGTTTGTTTGTAGGTGACCAAATACTTATTTTACCGAGGAATTTACCAATTAATTCATTAAAAATCCTACAATGTGATTTCCTGGATTCTTTCCCCCCATTCTGTCTCTCATGGTTGAAGTGTACTAAAATTACAGGCCTCTCATCTTTTTAAGTGGGAGAACTTGCACAATTGGTGGCTGACTAAATACTTTTTTGCCCCACTGTACATATACACAACTTTGGACTATTGGAAACTTTAAAGCATGGTGAAAATAATTTGTAAAGGGAGGCTGTGGCGCAGTGGGTTGTGTGTTGGTGTTGGGCTTCACCCCAAATTGTTCCTGTGGGGATTGCCCACAGTATTGAGTATGTAAGTCGCTTTGGATAAAAGCGTCTAACAAGTAACATGTAATATCTGTAGTGATCGGTACCTCAGTGCAGAAGATCTTTTTCCAACTAGATGCTCAGTGGTCACCAGATAAACAACATAAGATGTACTTTGTTGGACCTTTCTGGGTTGTAGCAGCATAACTAGCTTTCATAATTAATGTTAATCACTGTCACGATATAAATCTTTCCTCTGCAGGACGAGATGCGCAGCTGTGGCATCGCCAGCTTCGACCAGTACACGGGGGATGACTGCTGGGTGAACCTGAGCTACACCATCGTGGCCTTCACCAAGCAGATGATGAGCTTCCTGGAGGAGGGTCTGAAGCTGTACTTCCCCGAGCTGCACATGGTGCTGCTGGAGAGCCTGCGGGAGATCATCCTGGTGGCCGTGCAGCACGTGGACTACAGCCTGCGCTGCGAGCAGGACCCCGAGAAGAAGGCCTTCATCATGCAGAACGCCTCCTTCCTCCACGACACCGTGCTGCCCGTGGTGGAGCGGAGGTTTGAAGAAGGCGTGGGGAAACCCGCCAAACAGCTGCAGGACCTGAGGAAGAGCACCAGGCCGGTCCGCATCAACCCAGAGAGCACAACGTCTATGGTGTGAGAAGACGGAACGCTGGCCAAAAAACACTGAAAAGCTCTTTTACTGAATGTTCCGCCAATTTCAACTCCCATTTAAAAACTGCTAGATGTTGTTTTGAGATTGCCGGACAATAATTAAAAGGATGCATTAGGAGAATACCTCAAGATAGGTATGAGTATAAAGCTACTTTGCACCTGAGTTTGTACACACACAAATGCCTATTGTCATTGGCTAATATGGATAACACCTGATCTGACTTTGTTTTTTTGATGCACTGAAATGATTTATGAGAAAGCCTTGTTCCATTTGACAGTGAAACAAACGCATCATCAGTGACTTAGCATCAAATCAGGCACATTGAGATGTGTTTGTTACTGAAGATAGATATTAACTTTACTCCACAATTTCCTACCGTATTATTAAATAAGTCTGCACAGCTGAGGGGACACCTGTAACTCAATTCATGTGATGTTTGGGTGATTTATTCAATAAAAACCTCTGTATTTTCAGAGTTAATCAAATGACAGCCACATTGTTATCTAAAGTGTCTCAAACACGTTTAAGGAGTGCAATGCAACTGAAAGGTACACTAATAAAAGTAAAACGTTGTACCAACAAAAAAATATTAGAGTAATCAATCACACGAAATATTTTACATTGACTCAATTTCTTCAGAGCAATCTGTATATTTTAACACTAGAGCACATTTATTTGAATGAAGAACAAGTTGTTCACACAACCAGCTTTGGCCTCTGAGGCAGCCATTACCTGATCTTAGACATGTTAATAAGTACCAGTTAAAATGCAGTAATATGTGGGCCGCTTCCAAACATCAAACTCTTAGATAATGTCCTTATTATCCACTGCACACTTTTTTAAAGCAACACTGACAACAGTGCGCCTGTGAGACATGTAATCTCTGAGAATGATTAGACATGCATAACTTCTACAGTGAAAATCGGTCATACTGTAAGTGCAACTTCTGAACACAACACTTTTTCGCAAATGTTTTACAATGCATAGTTATTATAAAACCTTGGTTTTAGAAACCGTACCATGTAACAATGGTAACTGTGAGTGAGTGCAACAAAGTGTCGACCAGCTGGGTTCTCAGTCTATTCACTTTTGGGCTCATCTTTTTCCCCTCCATCAGGACTTTTTGCACAACTTCAAAATTGGATTGCAGTTATTTCTGATATCTTAAGTTCAGTCGGACAACTCACGTGTTCCTTTAACATGTTTATTAGAAGCAGCATATAGTTGAGTTTGGCGACTAGGCTCGGGCCTCATCACTCCATAGATATACATAGCACGATGAGTGATGATCAAATAACTAACCCCCGAGCCTACAGGTGGAAGCTGGGGTGGTGGTGGGGCAGCGAGCAGCAGCGACGTAGAGGTAGCTGCAGCAATAGCAGCAGCAAGCAATGCATGGAGAGAGATCTGGCAGGTAGAGCGGCATATTAAGGAGACTGTTTGGTTGGTTGTAGAGTGGCAAGGGGGCGTAATGTATGAATGCAGCATAAGTGCTCGAGTTGACTGCCTGAACTAGCTCGCAGGCTTCGCCCCATTTCAGTGCGTATATGAGCCCGAAGAGCATGGCAAAAGCTGTCGCAACCGAGGGCAAGCCGCTGAGGACCTCTGTTCCTTCGATGAGAACCTTGACGTCTTTGGGTCGATGAAGCTGATCCTCTTTCCCAGTGTCAAAGGCTTCCATTGTTGCCTGCTCCAGTTCTCCAGCCTCAGCGTCCTGCATATCATGCAAAAAAAAAGGGGAATGGATGAGGACCACAGAGTGTAGTTCAACAGGCCTGAGGCGTCAGTTCAGTCGGCCCAAGAGGAAAGCTCAGGAGGTCATCACAAATGACTATCTTTCTAACCAAGCAGTTATTTGCATGCAGTACAAATATGTTTTCTTTTATGAACAAACTTCTTGTGAGTGAGTGGGAGGTCTTACCTGGAATTCTTTGATGAGATGGTCAACAGGTTCACCCAGGTAGATCATTAGAGATTTGAGGATGCATTCTCTTCTGATGGCGATGTCCACAGTCTGAGTAAGAACAGAGATATATATATATAATAAATCAAATGCAAATAAAGGAGGATTCAGCCACTGATCCCACAGATAACAAACTCATTCATAGATACCTCATCCAAAACCTGCAAGATCCCGGTGGTCTTCTGTTTCACAACTCCTCCCCTGCTCCTGATGACCTGAGTGTTTGTCCAACTGCGCCAAGAACTTTGTCTCCAATGGAAATGTTGTTATGCGCATTAACTCAGCATTTACCTAGAAAATATAAGCAGCATAGAAAACAAAAAATACTGAGAATTTATAATACACATGTTTTTTATAAAGAGCCAACGGTTTGATTAAAAGTACTCCAAGTCAGCTTGTATGAATGTAACATTTAAATTAATTCATCCACATATTTATTGAAAACCACCACCAAATAAAGACACTAAGAGTAATAGATGTAAAGCTTATATTGTGATATATATTAAAAAATAAACGTCAACATATTTGCCTCGGCTGTCTATAGTTGTTAGTAAGTTGGGCCCTCAATTCTTCTCCACTACAGGCTTACAATCAAGGGTTTCATCAAAATAATGACCTCTTCCATGTGAAAAAGTGCAGGCCACCGCTCCAAGAGGCCTTCAATGCTTGGCCTCCGATGCACTATTTCTTGTCTTTCGGTATCCAAACGCCTTCGCCATCTTTTTTTTAATTGATTGCCGGTTGTTTCTTTTCTGTTGTTCTGCCAAAACGGGAAATTGTCTCTTGCTCCATGCTTTCTGGAGTCTCACCGAGGCGGTGCTAGGCGAGACTTCTTTGCTGGCTGGGTTGATCGTGATGGCTGTGGTGGAGGCCTTTGTCCCGAGGTGTATCTTAATCTTGTGGCAGATGGAGATGGAGGCCACTGTAGTGATGATGGTCCTCTGGTCCTTTGCGGTGAAGGCCCTTGAGCCACGGTAGATCTTGACCTGGGGGCAGGGACAGATGGAGGTTCTTGTTGCTAGGCCCAGGCAGCTGGGAAATCTGAAAAAAAAATATAGGACAATAATTACTACTAAGTTTGTTAAAATAAAGTTCAAGTGGAATGTTTCTCAAGCACAAATAACAATGCACAACTCAAAATAAAATTATCTCTCTCTCTGGAGGAGGAGGAGGAGGAGGAGGAGGAGGAGCCTGTGAGAGATAGAAAGAGAGACGTTGTTAGTATTTGGTGTTAGCTCGGAGCTAACGGAGATTAGAAGCCGTTTCAACAATAATAGGCCATAAGGTGAACCCTGTTATCGTTTCATCCCGCTCCACAGAAGTGGAACTACACAATCTTTAGTTCATAAAAAAGAACGAGTCATGCTTATCCACCAAAAAAAAGTTCGTCGCTAAAATTCCTGTCAATTCTTCTAGGCACGTAATTATTGGCTGAACTAGTCCCTTCAAAGCGTAATATCTTGGTCAAAAGTAGTGCCACGGTCCGTCACGTGATCGCACTACACCAATTGGGTAGCTGCATATACCGGTATCAACAAACAGATTTGGAAAAAATGGCGACCGCCATGGTTTCATGGAGTAGCAGGGACGAGGAAAACGCACCAGAAAGTCTCAAAAAGTCAAAATTATCAACACACAAACATTGTTACATGCATATTACGTCTGTGAAGCACGAAAAGGTTGATTATTTTACCAATACAAGATGGAATACGTACAGGACAAGCTTACAACGGTGGCATTGATTTTGAGGTTACAAATACAATATTATCATATTACAATAATAATAATAATATAATATATATCTATAATAATAATCTATATATATCTATAATAATAATCTATATATATCTATAATAATAATCTATATATATAATAATAATCTATATATATCTATAATAATAATCTATAATAATAATAATAATGCAATTCATCAAATTATTATATGATGAATGAGTAAATAAATGAATCAATGGTCATTGGTATAAGTACTGCATTTTATTGATCTAAATTACTTAACGTAACAAGTTAACCTTCTTGGACGCAGCTATGTATGAAATCAAGTCATGTTTATTGTAAGAGTGCATTTAACGTGTACAGGGTAACAATAACAACAGACAGACAGACAAAAAGTCCTCAGTCTAATGGAATAATCCACGAGCTCAGCCAATGAACCTAGCGATGCGAACATGGTAGTCCAGGAATGTTGTCGTAGCTGGAGTTGGCTGATAAACGCTGCTAGCCAATGTTGATTCGATGGTCAACTCTGTTCCCAGATAGTAAAACCTCTCACAAATACCGCGTATATAACGCAAATACCTCGGACTTAGTGATGTATTAAGACATATGACAAAACATGACATAAAACAAGCATACAGCACTGTTTAGAATCCATTTGGTCTGGTTTAGCGTAACCATGTAGGCGGCCATCTTTCACTTCTGTTGACAATATGCAGCTACCCAATTGGTGTAGCACGATCACGTGACAAACCGTGGCACTACTTTTGACCAAGATATTATTACGCTTTGAAGGGACTAGTTCAGCCAATAATTACGTGCCTAGAAGAATTGACAGGAATTTTAGCGACAAACTTTTCTTTGGTGGATAAGCATGACTCGTTCTTTTTTATGAACTAAAGATTATGTAGTTCCACTTCTGTGGAGCGGGATTTCTTTTCTAAAGGACTTTTCGAGGTTCACCTTGCGGCCTATAAGGAGAGGGAGAGCTCTCTCCTGTGGGACTGAGAGAGATAACGTCAGCTCAGGGAGGTTTGGTCATCATTTCCATCTATGTAATATTAGTTGTATATAAAATGAGTTAATAAATCATTCCACTGTGTGCAATAGGTCAGTACAAAATAAAAAACACAGTTTGAAAGGGGAGTGATTAGTAAAATATGCATAAATAAAAAGAAAGAATGCAGACTAGGTAAGATAAAGATAGGAGAGAGGAGTTGATCAAATATGTGTTATTGCTTGTGAGCAAGCAGGATTTTTGATGATTGAAATATATACTAGTACCCCCCCTAGAGGATGTGAGGTCATCACAAATAAAACAGGTTCACATGGATAGGATACTAGATAAGTGTGCACACTCATTATATACACTACACATTTTTCTTGGATTTGTTAACACTATAGTCCCTAATATATTTGTAGAAAGGCAGGAAATGGAATTAAATTGAGAAAATGTTTCATTGCCCCGTTTTGTGTCCCCCCCCACTTCTCAAACCAAAGTTACACCCTTACACCCACACAATGCAAGTACACTATCTTCAAATGGATCCTTGTTGCTGTATTCTTCTTCTTCAGGAGAGTAGAAGCCTCCAGGTTCTGATGCTCCATCTCCACTGCTGCTAGTGTTACAAGTCCGCTGTGCAGAGCTGGTAATCAGATAATAAGCCTGTTGATCAGGAGAAAAGAATGAAGCAGAGGGAAAGTTGCTGCCGTTTGTGTGGTCGTTCTAGCCAGAATGTATTCAACAAATTAATAAATTCACTTACAAATTATATCTGTTTCTCTCTATTTAT